CATTTCTTCTGGCTCAAAGTAATACAACTAAATTGATGATGGTATTTTCATTTAATCCCTCTGTTTTTGGAAGGCTTTGGGGTTGGCCATAAGCGTTGATTCTGCATTGGATGTTTTCTTTGGGGACAAAATCAGGGAACTGTTTTGACCACATACAAAGAGCTGAGGCACAGAAAGGTCACAGATTTGAAGTGCTATTCTCCACCCATGATCGTCTTCAGGTGCAACCATTGTGCTTTCACACAAGTTGCATGGCCCCACAGATAAATCCCATGTCAGAAGCAAGCCTTGGTGCACTAGCAGAGAAGTCAGATACAGGCTCTCAGGTTAAGTTTTGTGTATTAACATGTACAAGCCACTGAATTACTGTTTGGATAACTTCAGATTTCCTTCTTCTCTGACAGGAAAATAGCAACTGAGTGAGGGCAATGAGTTGTCTATCCTACTGTTTTACTTGTGACACAGCATGGAGATGTACTCAGTTCTTATCTTCATGAAAATCCAAGCTGATAAACAACTTCAGCACCTTTTGACATTTCAGTGCAGGGCTAAAAATTAGCATGGCTAGTCTGGTTACCATCATAGCCGCTTCACAGACTGGAGAATGTTTACAATTTACAGTGTATGAAAACCTTACTTTTTCCATGCTGATGATAGGGCAACCCAGCTCCTTTTTCCAGAAAACTTCAAACAGCCATGGCGCCTGCTGGCTTACACTTTATTCTGGAAGCAAAGACTGCTTTATTAGGTTGGCAACGTACTAAAGCAAAAATAAGTCATCAAAAGTTCTTTGCTCATCACATTTCAAGTACAGACTATCGAATGGAGTGGAAGAATCAACAACTGGACTATGTTATAGGAATACTGAAACACCACAGAACCTCACTTCAGTATGTGCAATTAAAACAAATGGGTAGACAATCACTAGCACAAATCGTACCAACTTAAAGTTCAAGCAGGTTCTTTCACAAGTCCTTGAGAGGTGCTTGTAAACAGCTGTAAATAGGGAAGAGCTTTTTCATATTGAACTGATTTTTTTTTTTGGTGTTAACCCACTACATTTCAGGTGGAATAGTCACAACAAAGATGCCACATCCAAAAGAAATTACCCTGCTAAGGTGGAGTAGTCACTTCTGCCAACTTCAACATTAAGTCCTTTAACTAGCAGGAACAAAGAAGGCCATCTGTGGCGAGGGATACTATGCACAGAATCCAGCAGTTTGGGAGCGTTATGTAGCTCTTCCTAGCCAGTTTTAGCTATTGCATTTAAACAGCACGTGACTTCAAAGAGGGCAAGAAGTTGCATTTTCTTTATGCTCATTCAGCCAGTTTAAATATTTCTTTCTCTCTGTTTTAACTGATGATATGTTGTCTGTTGGTACCAGTGTGGTTTCTTTTTTTGGACAGGTGTGGGGGAAGGTCATCTTCAAAGGGGCAGGTGAAGTTGTTTTCCAAGTATAATTCTAAAATAAAAATAAAACCAAACAACGCAAAGACAAACATACTGGCCAGGCATAGCCCATCAACAACTTCAACCAGCACAAGCCATTCTAGCTCCAGGTTACCGGTAGATTTGTTCTGCTTTATCACTGCCTGAAGGGTCCAGCAGCCACAGACAGAACTTAGGGCAGAAACTGATTTTTCCAGATATGCCTCTACATTTCCAGTACCATGCCTAAAAGCTTTGTTCCTTAACTCTTTGAAGTCCTAATAACAAGGTGCCATTCCCACATAAGCAGGTTGCTATCACTTATTAATATCAGCTGTTCTGGAAAATAGATAATCCCATCACCTCTGGGCAGAATTAAGTGTTGTCACAGTTGAGATGCTATCATGCTATCTGTGCTTTCTGCTCCCTGTTAAAAAAATACTTTTACAGCTAAAACAATCATCATACCAGTAGGAAAGGAGGACTTCACACTTATTTGTTCAAATATTTAATTGCATATTCCTAGTAGTACCATTGCCTTTACTTTCAACATGACACCATCACTAAAAAAGAAGCTGAAGAGATAAATTCTGTTTCAGTGTTTCTTTACCCACCTCTTGGCACATCAATCCCAAAAGCTGTCTCTGAAAGGCAAGGACCAGCCAATGGAATCAAGAGCATTTGCCAGATCATTCATATAACTAGGAATTTCTTAGAGGTGAGTTGAATGCTGGAACTCTTGAGTCACTCACATGTGTTACCCAACTGGAAATCAGAGTAGTAGCTATAGAAGACAATAGCTGCCTCTTGCACAAAGGACCTCACTGCAGCCTTACAGATTACGTGCACTTTAACTGGAAACACTTAGCAAGCAAATAACAAAGGAAGCTTTACTTCCCAGCACCGCCAACAGATACAGTTTAAAGATCGACTGAGCAGAGAGGTTACATTTGGAAAGTACAACACCAGATTTTCAGTTTGATTCGTATTCAATTAAGTCAACAAGTTTCATAGGAATAAAAAACAAACAAACTTACATTATCAGCTCAGACTTCCCACCAAGCCAGTTTCTAAGTTTTACCACCAGCCCCCTCATGCTCCCAGTACAGCAAGATAAGGAAATCCTGAATTCGTTGCAGCTGGCCTGATGAGCCTTGTAATTAGGACATGCAGTGTGGCTTTTTGGCTTCTTGAGAGCGCTAACCCTTTCACTGCCAAATCCTTTCTATCCTGTTGTAGCTCAAAATGAGACCTCAGCTGGGAGGTATTGTTTGTTGTCTGCTTTTTGAAGAAATAGGTTGGCTTTGCTAACGGCACACTGTGAACACAAAGCAGTCGTTGCTTTTGGTGGAATTCATCAGAGGAGCAGTCTCCCTACCACCTCCCAGATGAGTCCAAATGCATTTCCCTCTTCCTCTCTATTTTCCTTCCTACTGTCATCTGTACAAGACCATCGACATTCTCCCTGTCACTCTGGTCATCCCCTGGACATCCCCTGTGAGTGTGAAGCCAATGCAAAGTTTTTGTCCAAAAGCCTTCTTAAAATTCCCCTTTGCAGCAATGCAAACACTTACTAAGGGGTGAATTGCTGATTTGCTCATTTAAGTGCCCCAGATAAAAAAACTCCAACTTGGTTGATGTATCTCAGCAATATTCATTTACTCCTTGTCTTCTACAAAGACGAAATGGACTAAATCACCACTGGGTTTCATCGCATTCATTACGTCTTCCTATGTGCTTCCAGGGGCTGGGATGAACTTTCGCACCACCACCCTTATTATATAACTTGGCTTTTGGAATGTTTTTTTCTCTCATCTCCCTCTGAGGAACCGGAGATTTCCACAGCTAGTGACAGGATGTAGCACCGTTTGTGCTGGTGCTCTTTATAGTGTCTTTCAAGTGCTAGATTGATGTGTTTTTCACATTGACTTTGAGTTAAACTGATTTAAGACCATTTCCCAGGTCATATTGGCAGGAACTGTTGAAGCGCTTTGCCTGACTTTATACCAGGAGGGATGGGCTGCATCTTGGAATCATCTAGGAATTTGCCTTAATGAATTCATTGTTCTTTGAAGCACCAGTGACATCGGCAATGTCCGTCTTCCCCCCTGCTGTCATCTTCTGGGATGTTATATTTGTGTCTTTTCCTTTTTTAACACCGGGCCTCAAGATGATTATAGGGAAGTGTTTCATGGTGGCGTGTGTAGACTGGATGTTTTGGCGTGTCCAGATTTGGCGCGTATCGCACAAATGCCCTGCCAGCTGAACCAGGTGGCCGCTGTCGGAGCCATGTGTCACACCTTGGCCACAGAGCCGATGGCAGTTGCTAAGATCATGATTTAGTGCCGGTACAGCCTGTAGTCTGATGGGATCCTGGCCTTTGACAAGGCTTCTGGCTGCCATGGTTCAAGCAAACAAAAGTTTGTAAAGGTTTGCTGACAGAGTGGGCAAACCTGCGGTCGTTGCAACCCTTACGTTTCCGTACTGACCTGAAACCTGCCAAGAAAGTCTGGTGGAGGAGTGAATTAGGTAATATCCAGACATGATGCCAGATTGCTCCCTCTGAACGGGCCTAATAGCTCAGCGTAAAGGATATTTGGAAAAGAAAATAGTCACCACTACGAACCATACGTCCGAGTCAAAGCCCACTGAGGGCAGCAGACAGGTATGTTTTGTTTTGTCACCGGCTCAGCCCTGGGGGCAGAAATAGCAGCCTCCTGATGGCAGGAGTTATATATTCTGCATCCCCGGGGAATGTTCCAGATTTTGGCAATGGGTAAAGAATTTAGGATTTCACACATTCCATGTGTCCATACACCCACCCTTCTATGAAAAGCAGGGAACCGGAAAAGTTACGGATGGGTGTAATGCATGTGAGGTACTTTAAGAATCTCTTGGCAAGAGGGGCTCTTAAAAAGAAAGATTTTGTATTATTCTATGTAAGAGAAAGTGGCTCCTAGGGACACAAGAACTTCTTGAAGACCCTTAATTAATACTATTTTGGCATCCATAGCACTTCCCCTTCCTTTTAACAATTTGATGCCAAGAATTTCTCATTCCAGTGGTGTCCAATAAATCCTAGGAAATAAATTCCAGTGACTGTTGGAGGTATCTTTGGTTGCTTGATGGCTAAAACAGCTAAAACCTTTTCGTTAGGTTTCGAAATAGCTTTTCCTTTTGAAACGTATGGGTTTAACCCCTGAAACAAAGTGGCTGATTCCCCTCTCAGCAGCCAGAACATCTTGCACCAGCACAGAACTATGATGTTCCCTAGGGGTAAAATGATGGACGTTCCAGTGCTAGGACACATGTGAAGTCCTGGTGAGATCAGACTCTACTCTGTGGCCCTTTGAATTGATCCTGCTGCCGTGCACCAGCGTCGGCTTTGTAAGAGGGGCCAGTGGAGCTCAGCACGTTGTGTTTGACTATAGCGAGAGTGGGTGAAGCACATTAGCTGTGTGGCGATGGCCTGCTTAGGCTGGATTTTTATCTACAGTATACACCATCTGCAGTGGGGTGGGGTTCAGTGATAGTCAGGACCCATCCAGGTAACTGTGCCTAGAGCTTCAACATGATTCTTTCGGTATGTGACGGTCACCAGAAAATGCACTCACTGTGCAGACGTCCTGAACATTTGAGCTCTCTGAGATAAATGCAATTCCATTTCAGATTTATTTCACAAACTCTCTAAATCAATTTCAATGCAGGTTTTCAATATGTATATGACATATATAAATATATATAACATATATGACATATAAAGACTATTGAAATATTTGGATTTAATAGCACTGGAAAACAAGGTCTCCACAGAAGCACAGATTGCGCCTCTTCTTACCTCCCTTTCCCATAAGCCAGCAGCAATTCTCTGATGCCAGAATTACATGAGCATAGCATTACTGTGAGGTGCATCAGACCTAACATAGAAACACCCTGTGGAATGTGTTCCATCACTTCAGGGTGGAGAGGACTGTCAATAGTTGGTCCTGTTTCTACAGTGATTCATTAACACATAATTTTTTTTTTAATTTAGTTACTTTTTAAACCCCTATGTACAGTTTCTTTTGAGCCTTAACACATTAAAGTGAATGAATCCTTGTTATCTCCATTAGGGAGATTAGCTATTTAGGTGATTATGGGTTTCCTACTGTTCTAAAACTACTGAATGGCAAATTAGGAGCTCCTGATTTTGATTTGCAGATTGAGAGAGTGAAGATCCCATTGAAGTGAAGTACAAAAACTAGGTATTTACTGTTTATCAGGAAATGTTTAAATCACAGCAGGTTTCCCCTTAGAAAATCCAAGACGTGTAGATATGAATGCTTCTTGTCGTTGTTTGAACATGGGAATCTATGTTCACTGTCTCATTAACCAGACTGGAAATTAAAAATTAATTTAATTTTTTCTTGGTGTTCTTTCCCTGACTTCAGTATTGTTCGTGCAAGTAATTTTGGACACAAAAACTGTTCCCCTTTGTGGGTCATTCTTTCAGCTTTTTGCCTGTGTATTCTAACTGTACCGTGAATGTGCTGTGATCAAACACAAGAAAGCAATCATTGCTTAGTGGAAGGGTTGGACTAAGTGAACCATGACAAGCTCGACAGTTTCCTCAGCAGTGGAGTGTCCAGCTCCATTGCATTGCCTTCATGAAACCTCTTTATTAATGGCCTGTATATTGCTCTCCTCAAACATGCAGCCATATTCTTAATGGAAAAAAAAAAAAGTAATCTTTTTTCTGCTATTTTTATCCTTCCCTTACTCGGATCAGCCTCAGAACAATCCTTAATACAGTACTGTGTTTCAGGTGACTTTTTTCTTTTCTTCTGCAGGCTCTGAGCAGCAGTCTGTACAAGAGCGCATCGCCTTATGGCTCTCTTAATAACATTGTGGATGGGTTAAGCTCCCTCACTGAGCATTTCTCTGACCTATCCCTTTCTTCAGAAGCCAGAAAACCCAGCAAGAGGCCACCTCCCAACTACCTGTGCCACCTCTGCTTTAACAAGGGGCACTACATCAAAGACTGCCCACAGGTAAGGAATATACAATGTTCTGGAAAAATCTTCCTAAAAATTTTCACCATTCCTTGATTTAATAACATAGAATTTGACTGAAATAGTTCTTTATAGTGAGTAGGACTGAAGAAATATCTTGTCAAAGTGCCAAACTAGCCATGTGTTATTTTAATCTATTCTTTATCACAATGCTGATGGAAAAAAAATATGCTATTTCATTTGCCTAGTAAGAATTACAAAAGTTATTAATCTAGGCACATGATAAGTAGATTTTTGAAACTTCAAAAATGGCTACTATGTGATTTTCTATCACAGAGATTGTGTAAAATACATTTGCAAGCAGCACACTGTGTAGTCCATTTGGTAATGTCACTTAATAAAAATATAATAAGTTACATATGCTAAAGGAGAAGAAATTTTTACACTGAATTAGAACTTTGAATCGGTGTTGCAGTAACACAAGCTCCAAGTATATCTGGTGCAAAATGCCTTCTGTTGCATAGAAGAGGTTTGCTGTACTTGGCAAATGTGGGAGTCTTGGACTCCCAAAACTTTTTTGTAGTGGCAAAACTGGCAATATTTGTTTCTTTAGAAAAGAGGTATAAACCAGTGTGCACTAAAACCACTCACCAGTCTGCATTTTTTTTTTCTGAGGCTCCAAGCCGCAGTGTGCAAAGTTTCTCCATCCTCTCAGGTTTCAGCTGGATGCAGGCGTGCTGATGGCTTAAACTTTCATGACTCCAACAATATTCTATGTAGAGTCCCAAGGAAATTAAAGTGCTGCCAATACTCTAGAAATACAGATGTGATCATTACTGGCATCCATTTCGCTATGGATTTAACCTCCTACCCTCTTAGTGTGTGACTTTCAGCAGAGTTAATCTGCGTAGAATTAACTACAGTTAATTCACCGTTGAGGATGTCAGGCATATATAAGCCAAAACACAGGCAGAAAAGCATCTGCCAGCTGAGCAGGGTCAGCATGAAATCGAGTCTAATGTCAGATGAGCTTTAGCTGAGTGTATTTCTCCTGCTGTTATGCATAGACTAAACTGTTTTCTTCGTGAACGTTCTCTGTATATCTTTCATTAATTCTAACAAAAACTGTGGAATTAAAGTACATTTGCAGTCTTGGGTGCAGCACTTGAAAATATTTTTTACTTCATAGTATTCCAATATATGTTGAGTAAGGGCAGTTTTCTTTAGGAAAAAAAATATGAAATTTTCCTTGCTAGGAGATCAGAAATACTCTGGTTTGTATACTACTGTGTTTAATGTATGTAGTATAGCATGTTACAGCAAAATGTAGCGCTAGAACCCTGTAACAGCACACATTGCTTAACAAGGGGATTAGAACTACAACTACTAAATACATGGCAGAGAGAAACAGAGTGCAGAACTGTGGGAGATGGCTGTGCTGTGCTGCCTAAGAATCCAACCGAATGCAGCAGGTCCCTTGACGACCGATACATGCAAGCTGCAGCTCGCGCAGATGGGCCCAGGTGAACGTGTCAGAGTTGGAGCAGAAACGCGTTGTTTATTTCATAGGTATTTTTAAAGTTTGAGGCATTAGAGATTAAAGAACAGTTAATGGAAACAGAAGATGAGGCATTAAAGAAGAGTTAATGTAAATTGAAGATATACCCACAGAACTCCAGGAGGTGCAAACAAATGAAGGTTCATGTAGGAAGATTAATTTACTTAAATTGCACATACTGTGCAATTTTTTGAAGATTTCACTAGTAACATCTTGAATTTCTCTGTGAACCACAAAAAAGACTTCCTACAGAGTGTACTGTGGCTGGCTTGTGAGCTAGTAAGTAACGAGTGAAGGAATATGGGACCGGGAGGCATCTGCTTGCTCACTGCACGCGGTCTTCTACAATTACAGGCAGCCCTATCATGCAGTGCCTTTCGTAAACCGGTCAAGTTTTAGTTGGGAAGTATTTCAGTATTTTTCCCCTGCTACTGCTGGTGTGAGAAGCTGTTCCAGAATCTCAGTCCTCTCCTAATTAGAAATCTTCCAGTTTCCAGGATAAGTGCAACTCACGGCCACTTCATAGCCATTTTTTCTCCTGCCAACATTGTCCTCCACTGAAATAGCTCTTCTCCCTCCCTGGTGTTTATTTCAGGATGTATTAATAGACTGCAATCATATCCTCTCTCAGCATTCATTCTGTAGGACTTACCGAGCCAGGTTTTCTCAGTCTCCTCACAAAAAGCAGACAGACTCTCTGTTCCCCAGTCTTTCTCATGGTTGTCCTCTTGGACTTTTCATCTCCTTGCGCATGCATGACTACATGGACGGAGGCATCCCAGAAGAGGTCTCATCAGTGCCTTTCGCTCTGTGCGCGCGTATCTGTTTCTGTAGATCAAAGTTTATGTTACTTAAGGAACAGGTGATATGAAATTAGTTCTGCTTTATTGGAGATTTCTAACATAAGCAAGTGTTTTATGGTCTAGTCATCATGTAAGTGCTTTCCTGAAAAACAGCATTCCCAGAAACTTAAGCACTTCCCTTATGTCATCTGAATTTGAGGACAGATCTACAGGGCATGACCCTGTGTGCACAAGTTATGTTTAAAACGCTGAAACGCAGGATTGGATCTTTGTTAGAAAGACCCCCTTGATTACCACTGCTTTTGACAATAACCGATTTCTTAATTTGAACATTATGTGCACTACATAATAGCTTAGATTTTGATGCCTAGTTTTTCTAGTGCTGTCAAAAACGGGATTTGTTTTGCAAATCCTACAAAAAAAGGGCTGTAGCTATGCATTTTTGAAGTACTTAAATTTGGCTAGAGAAAAGAGATAAACTAATCTGATTTGGACAAAATGCATATCAGTAAATCATACAGTATTTTCTTTCTTATATAACTGCCTAATAAGAAGCAGATTTTGAAGTGGGGTGTTTTATGGAGTTTTTCCTGCATAACAAAGAAATTGTGTAACAACTCTGAGACTTTAGATTCTTCTTAATTCTGCTTGTTATAAACACTGCGTAGATGTGTGTTCTTCTGTTGCTGTAAAAGTTGATGGTATACTGTCCTGATTAAAATGCATGTATCAGTTCAGATTTGTATCTTAAGCAATGATCATATTCCAGGAGGTTAAATAATTACAAAGAAAAAAGGCCAGTTTAATATTTGAGTACCTCAGGTATCTGCAGTTTGTCCAATATCCTGTCCAAAATTATCTGTTTGGAAATTGAAATGGGATTTCGCAAACTTCTGTTATTTTAGCACATAGTTTTTGTGATCTGTAGTGATATAAAGTGTATTTTCTGTTTTAGAAACTACCAGAAATGAAAGCAATGTTATGACTACAATTGATCATTTCCAATTTGCCTATATTTGCAAAAACTGTTTGTTGCAATTATGATGTCTATAAAAAATACAGTACTTTTTATCTTTAATATCATTTTTATAGCATACTACATTTCCTCTGCACTAATTTTTGAGTTTCAGTGGCTTAGGCGATAACATCTTACTCATACCTCTCTGATGTTCTTTCACATACAGAACTTTCATTGACATGAATGAGCTGAAAAATTTGTAAGAGAATAAAGGCTAAAAGCGGTGTTCTTAAACTTAACATAGTGGCGCTCTTAAATTGTGATTGACAGTGCCACCAAGTGTACAAAATATTTCTCTTTTAATAGCAAGGAAGGTGAGGAATGAGAATACTCTTCCTATCTTGTTTACTAGTGGGTAGTTGCATGATATATAAATATATACATATGTAGATTTGTCAAAACTTTGTTTATTAATAAAGGTACTGTGCCAGTGTACATCTTGAATACACGCGATAACCATAGGTTTTCTTTTGGCAGGACAAATAATGATGAGCTCTCGGCCAGTAATAGTTAAGATATATGATTATGACATTTATTTATCTAGCAGATGTAGAAACTCATAAAAGACCTTTTTTAAAAAGTTACATTGTCTGTTTTCACCCGTTATCACTGTAGTCTATATTTTTAAATCCTACAAAATATAAACAGTGGGATCGTTTTTACTATGCATGGCCTATACAAAATGAATCTTGCTCGTTTACAGTATAGGGACGTTATTGTCGTTACAGCCTTTCCATGATGTCATCGCCCTAAACTCAGACCTGTCATATAGCTTTAATATGCAGAAAGTACAGGATAATGGGGTATGGTGTTAGGTGCATTTGTGAATATAACAGCTAGTTTCAAGTTCTGAGAAGTTGCTGAGTGATTGAACCTTTGCCGTAGCTCATAATCTTCTTTGGGAAGGAAATAGCTGGACACAGATCCTAGACCTAATTTATTGCATGTGTCATTCCTCTTGTTAATTTGGGCAGTAATGGATTAACAGCACAGGTAGCAATGAAACCTCTACTTGTTGAGGTCCAAGCTCAGAGCTCCAGCAAAGCATGTCTGTATTCAGAGTTTCAAAACTGCTCTACCTTGCGTTTCTGCCAAGCACCAGTTGCATCTACTGGTCTCTCTGTCCTAACTTTATTCAATTGTTGTCAAATCCTTTTGTGAAAATATGCGCAGGCCTAGTCACTCAAAAAACACGTGGCTCCAGCTGTGTTTTTCTGAATGCTGAACAAGGAGGCTGCTCTGATCCTTGTGCCAGTGCCAAGCGCCCTAAAAAAAACTTCCTGACAATTCCTGTAAATTTCTACACAGGCAAGGAACTCTCACATGATGGAGACTTGGTGGGGGAAAAAAAAAGGGCAAATAGCACTGTTCTGCAGTCAAATCCCTGGGGCACCACAACTATTTAGTCCAGTCCCTGTGAGATACAGAACTGTTACACAGTGTGTTTCCCAAATTTACAGTATACTCGTAGAGGAAAATGCACGTGCATGCTTATAGAAGTACAAGCATACTACCACAGGCGTATATGTAATGGGAAATAACATTAGCCTCCTTTTGCACTGCATTTTTACATCTGTGAATGAACTGTATGGCATGATCTATATCAATGAGGCCAACGGTGGGATTCTTTCCATTGCCAGCAGTGATCTTTGAAGTAGAT